AAGAATCAGTCCACTATGACAGTACAGGAGTGGCGAGAAACTGATATATAGGGGATGATTTACTAACCTAAACACACGCACGCACCAGGTGCGTGTGATTTTCACACAGCAAAACGTATTTATCAACCAAAAAGTCTCTAAAAGCATATTTCCACTAATGCCATATATGGAAAAATCATGCACATGATGCATATATAATGCTGCTTCACAGTTTAGACAAAAATGGTTAGCTCATGCATTTACATTCCTGCATTCATCAACGCAAGCAACACAACATAGAGCTAATTTACACAACATCACCTTGCAATTCATGCTTGGCTTTGCACAACAAACCTGCTGGGTGTGTACACACTACAAAGGTGTTTAGATTCCACCCATAGATCATGCTGGGAGGGAACACACTACAGAGGTGTATACATGTTCGTGGTGTGTTTATAAGGTTAGTAAATCAACCCCATAGTGTTGTACATCAGTTAATATATATCTGTATGCAAGAACACTCGGTACGATCACTTTCAATGGTCATAAAACCTAAAGCCTTTCTATGTCAATATGTTTAATGTGCCATTTCGCATACTGAAAATCTAAATCAGCCCTTAGAGAATATGATTGTAGAAAGAGCTGATCAGAATATGATTGATGAAAAAGCTGATCAGAACTATACTAGGAAGGTCGTGCAATCTTGCTGAGATTTGAGATGTACTTGCTTAGTAAAAGAAAAATGCTTACAAGTATATAGAAGTGAAAAGAAAAACTGGATCAACTGCAATTGCTACGAGAGTGCTACTAAGTATATGGAAAATGCTGGTCAACATTTCTTAATGAGGCCATAGAGGCTACATTTGCATCAAGAGCAAATAAATAAAATGCTATAAGCGGTTCATATTTTTACTTGGTAGGGTGTAGTAAAAGCATGTAGAATGTAGTAGTTTTGCCCTGGTGGCTTCTTACTTTAGTCCATGGCTACCAGCAAATAGTGTGGAGATTGCATCATATAACTGATTTCTCTCCTGTGGATCTGAAATATTTGAAGGTGGCACACAGACGTATTTTGAATTCCAAGTAATTCCAAGTTGATGTCTAGAACTCTGAACAGTGTCAGTGCTACTTCTGGGTGACACAGCAGCATTTACCCATCTGTCTATGTTACTACTAAAAGAAACATAAGATATGATAAATATTAGCATGGTGTCACTGCCATCTACAGACTAAGAGTCCAGGGATACTACTGTGCTGTCAACACATCTGGTGCATGAATAAAAACGATCCTAAACTAGTTTTTACTTTTACTGTGCATGACAATGCACACCATGTTTACATCTGTATACTCTGGTGCAGTATAGTGCAGGTTTGTCTTTGTTTACTGTATATGTGTGTTGAGGTGCCATTCAAAATAAATAGCAGTGCACTGCAACACATTAATGCCCATGTGTTGACTTTATCACCAGGTTGCAGAGAATTATAAATGATTGGTGCAGGCAAATTGATTACAACAGGGCCAAGGTTCCGGCAGAATCTCTAACTAAGCAGTTAACCATAGTTGAAAACTGTGTAGGCACCAGATAAATGGAATGGAAATATATCCAGTCCAGATGAGAGTAAAGTTCTACATCTAAAATCTGCAGTGACTTCTAATGTATGTGGGATAGTCATATGAAGAAGTCTGGTCATTTAAAGATGTTTAAAGCCTCTTTATTCTGGAAATGTGCACATGCAGTTGTCATTTGACAAGGATATTTGTCAGCTGCTAGATATGCTTTCCTTAGCCTAAACTATTTATTGAGCTGTTAATTCTTTTTGCTACACCATTAAGTGTATTGTATATCTAGCTGCAACATACTGTCTACAGACGTAGGTAAAGATATTATACCCTTCTTGAAATACACTTTCATTCACAAGTTCAACATGCAGTCAGTGCCTAATTAACATGCTCATATGTTGGTGCACCAGAAAAACATTTGAATACAAAGTTGTACCTATTCTTACTGTACATACAGAACCCCTTTTAAAGTAAAATTTTAAAAAAGACAATCACAGACTTTGTTTAATGTAATGCACATATATATGTTTAGATGATTATATGTGCATAACATAAAAAATCTTACATTTTCACAAAGCCCTCTGCCAAAATATGCTTTATTTGTCTCTCTGTGTAAATGAACTCTGCTTTATCCACTTCACACAACTTGTATCAATAATCCTAACATTCCCTAAGATGTACAGGTGAAACTCGAATAATTAGAATATCGTGCAAAAGTAATGGCAGTAAGTGCTGCAAAAGGGGCCCAAACCAAGTACTGAGTACATATGCATGCTTGTACTTTTCAGAGGTCCGATATTGTTCTATGTACAATCCTTGTTTTATTGATTGCATGTAATAATCTACTTTTTTGAGGTTGTGGATTTGGGGTTTTCATGAGCTGTAAGCCATAATCCTCACAATTATGACAAATCACGGCTTGAATTATCTTGCTTTGCATGTAATGAGTCTCTCTCATATATTAGTTTCACCTTTTAAGTTGCATTAGTGAAATAAATGAACTTTGCACGATATTCTAATTATTCGAGTTTCACCTGTATAACATTCCCCATTTTTTAGCACATTCAGTAGTGCAGACCAGTGTTTCTCAACCTGTGAAACCTCAGAACCCTCATTTGTCCTTGGTCATTAAGTCGCGACCCAAGTCGCACTGCCTTGGAATGCACAGCATTGCTGTACCGTGCGTTCCAGTGCAGGCGTTTGGACTGTGGGCTGGAGGTGGGGATGAATGGCAACACAACTCACCTCCCGCACCAGAACGCATACTGGGTGCGATTACGTGGTACAGTGCGTTAATGGCACAGGACTGTTCAATTAACGCACTGTACTAGTTTGAACGGGCCCTCAAAAATGCTGACGGATACACACAATCACATACACAAATCTCACACACACATACAGTATACTTGAACAGGAATAATTGCTTACTAGTTTACGGCCCCTTTTACTCTCCATTAACTGATGGTAATCTCTGTAATAAGGCAAACTATTAATTATCTGGATCCTAACAAGCTAAGACTACTAGTTCTGTTTTTTTTAAACTGGAGCAAAGGAAAAACACAAAAAGTGGACCAATTGCCCTGTTCCCTGTACCCAGAGAGAAATAGGTAATTCCTGATTGGTCACTAGGAACAACACCTCTGCTTTTGATCCAATTTTCTTTCCTCCAGTTTTTATAACAAATACACATAGACTATTATTCTAGCTAACCAGACACTTCCTAATGTGCCACATTTATTTATACCATTTTACACACACACACACACACACACACACACACACACACATCAGTTAAAACATTGTGATTACTGTCAGGTAAGTGAATAACATTGATTATCTTGTTACAATGACACCTGGAAGTGAAAGGATATATTAGACAGCAAGTGAACATTTTGTCCCTGAAGTTGATGTGCACCCTGCCACACTGCAAAAATGGTTCAAGAATGGTTTGGAGATCTTCACTTTCCACAAACTTGATGTGCACGGCACCATCCGTGACTATCACTACGAGCACCGCTGCTATTTGGGTCTAATCGCTGTAAGCAGTGCAGAAGACACATCTGAATACAATTTGGTTTGAGGAATACAACAACTAGTTTAAGGTGTTGACTAGTCTCCAAACTCTCCAGGCTCTTAATCCAATCCAGCATTTGTGAGATGTGCTGGAAAACAAGTCCGATCCATGGAGGCCCCACCTCACAACTTACAGGACTTAAAAGATCTGCTACTCATGGCAGGATGTTATGTTACGGCTGATTGGTGTATGTATATGTACA